AACTCTGACAGCTTTACTACCTCAATTCACAGAGAGTATCACCAAATAATAGAAGTTGCAGCTACTTGAGCCTCAGAGAACGTAATTTATTTATTCATTTCAGTGACATTTTTACTAGACTACAGTTCATGTAGATTAGTCAGACACATCAAAAGTCACATATTAGCTGAGGCGAAGCTGTCATGACTGCGGTTGTCTAACAGTGTCAATCTGAACTTTAGATGAATATAATTTGCTAGCTCTAAATGACAGAGATATAATACAGATCTTGTATATCACCAAGGTAATAAATAATTAGTGAGCAAAACTGAGTAAAATAGCAGGTTGAGCACACCCCCCAATTTTGAATCTTGACGCAGAAGTCAGTGATCAGAATGATCCATCTTTCTGCCTCAAATGATAAAACAGCTTTCTCACAACCTAACACATAGCACCATCTGGCATGAACAGAGGAAACTAAGAACTTTTGGAAGAGAAGCACAAAAGCAATTTAATTTCTTTGGAATTGTCCAAGATATTAAAAAAAATCCTTCAGAAACGGCCATCTGACTGTGAATGCAGCTCAGTGAACCTGCCTCCTGTAGACACGCTTGCATAGCTTATAATCTCAGTAAAATGTTGTTGAACTGAATTGTTTGGTGTCATGGTTCAACCCCAGCCGGCAACTAAAGCACCACGTAGCTGCTTGCTCACTTCTACCCACAGTGGGATGGGGAGGAGAATGGGGGGGGTTAATGGGAAAGCAATGGAAGAGATAATAATAACAGTAATAATAATATATACAAAACAAGTGATGCACAATGCAATTGCTCACCACCCAATGAACAATACCCAGCCCATCCCCGAGCAGCAATCACTGCCCCCAGTTTACACACTGAGCATGACGTCATATGGTATCGAATATCCCCTGTGACCAGCTGGGGTCAGTTGTCCCTGCCGTGTCCCTTCCCAGCTTCCCACACACCTGGCAGCATGAGAGGCTGAAAAGTACTTGACTGCCTAGCAACAACTGAAAACATCAGTATGTTATAAACATCATTTTCATCCCAAATCTAAAACACAGCACTACACCAGCTACCAGCAGGAAAATTAATATCCCAGCTGAAATGAGGATGTTTGGGTATGGGATGGGTGTTGTCACAGTTAAGAGAGTGTGTGTGGAAAGTCAATTCTTCATCAAACCAGCTGGGTTTCAGAACATTATCTCATGTCTCTTAACAGGAATTTTAGGATCTCAGAATACATCTCCCCAGCGAAGCTCAGCAGGCTCTTTTCCGTAGCTGTTTATACGAAGAGTGACTACAGACACCAAGTTAAGCTGTGCTTTGAGCAGTATCAGCACATGCATTACCAGCTGTTTGCTGGGGCTCAACATCCTCCACATGCAGTGGGACAGGAGCGGTCTGATCACACCATCAGCCTTGAGAGGGGACGTGGAGCTGTGCCATCAGAGGCACCACATGGACGTGCAGTGCTGAGCGGTCAACCTGAGATGTTTGTAGCATAAACACGAATGGAGTCTGCGGTCTGGTTTCACTGATACTAGAACAGATTTATTTCATCATTGCTTTTTGAAAGTGACTTTTAATGCAGACTGTTTTCTAAATGATCCTTAAAAGACACTCCTTTCTTCCTCATCACCTTCACCTAAGGCAATAACATCCAGTAGCATTGATCTATTTGCTGCTAGTTTTCATTAATTTTACCCTCCCTAAGGGTGGTGCAGCTTTGGTGCCAGCTAATTAAAACTTATTTAGGGCTGTTCAGTGCACTTTATCAGACCAGAATTAGCTCTGCTTTTTTAATGCAGACTACAGTTTTCTCTGTTATTACCAATTAAATGTTGTATCATATTGCATTATATTTCCAATGCATGGCAAAGATACAGATGGCTTTAGAACCACTTACCTGCACTGAGGCACACACAAAGATGCCACATTTAGTAATTACCTAATGTTTCTTTAAGTTCTTTCACTTGACTTGATACATAGAATATACCAAAACATTAGTGAAGTACTGGAAGAAGCTGCCAGCTTTATGCTCCCTCTAGGGAAGTACCAAGTAAAACGCATTAATGAAAATTTGTAAATGTCTAGCAATTAATATTATTTATGTACAACAATTATTCAAAGTGGATGAGCATTCACCACCTTGAACTCAAATGCTTCAGTAATGAAGAGTCTCAAAAAGAACATATGTCCTCGAGATTCGTAACACCGCATGCAAGGTTAATTCTCCAGCATGGATAGCCCATATCAGAGGGTTTTTTGCAGCACTGTAGAATTAAAAAATGCTTTATTGTGGAATAAAAAACCTTGTTTGTTGGATGGTATTTAGAGGCAATTCTTCTTTCTTCCATGAACCAATAATAAACCATTTGTCAACATCAAAGCTGTGGGTTTTGAACCTCCACTCAGTGAAGTCAGGGATGAAGCTCTCATGCCACTGGTGTAAGACCAGAGCATCTCTGCAGTAGAGAACTGACTGCAGCACATACCTGTTAGCTGCTTCTCATAACATCCTTTAAAACTTCAGCACTACTAGGATGAAACTACTGAAAAGCCCCACTAATTACCTAAAAAGATGGTACATCAAAGACTAGAAATAGGAAGCTCATTAAAGGCTTGACAGACTAGAAATCTGTTGCGATCTTACTATGCATTAGTAGCATACACTGTACATAAGGACAGTATTTTAGGATTAAACTAAAATAGATACAGTTACAATCCACTCAGTACATTTTAAAATGAGTTGAACTTGGTTTCCTTCCAGAATTTTTGCTGGGAACATGCTGAAACAGACCTCTGTTCAATCTAATATTGCAAGCAAGAGTTGATGTTTCTCCGAGGAACCGAAGGAATATTTGGCTGAGGAACCTGAGTCTGTCTCAGCATCATAACAGTCTGGCACAACGTGCAAAAGTCTTTTCATCACCCACTAATCTCTCGTGCTCTCCCTTTACTGCTTCCACAAATGCCACATGCCTCTGACAGCCTCATGACCCTCCCTAGAAACAGCACACGGGTCCTGTGAATTGAAGATGTTACAGAAAATGAAACAGTTTCCAAAACTGAGGTCCCCTGATAAGTACGGAACTGCAGGATGTTTTCTTGTGATACAGAAGGTGTTGGCTGGTGACACCACCATTGTTTCCCTTGTTTCTGGCTGACAAGTGCACTAAACGATGTTAAAAAAACTGCTTAGTATTTGAGGTGGAAAAGTAGGACTAAAAATGAAAGCTGCAGTAGATACAAGGATGTTATCTGATTGCCATTGTGAGGAGCGGGGTGAAGGGGGGTGTCACAATGTTAAAGGGTGGCTCCTGCAAACACACTGGAGTGTGGGTCATGACGCAGGCTCTTTGCAATTTGCCCCTGTTCGCAATGTGAAAATTTTAGTTGTTGTAACGGATTAATGAGAAAGAGATTGGACCACTTTGGCATTAACATCTTAAGAACTTTGTTCATAAGCATTGGGAGAACAGAAGTTCAATCTGCCTTTGACACGGAAAGAAGCATTTGTATTGTGTTAATTGAAAAATAATAAAACCTTGAGATGTGTCAATTTGTTGAAGAGGAATGGATTAGGCTGGAGATGAGAATACTTTGACATCAGATGATGAGATATTTTGATGGGATATACTAAGGTCTGCTCTCACAATAAGGATTTTTATGAAGTGTTGTAAAGTCACTGTGACCTGACTGGCTGTTAACATGGAAGAGTCATAAATACAAACAAATTTATGTTTAGCAATGCAGTAATGTACTCATGATAATATTTAGCTCAATTAATATGTAAACCGGATGACTGGATTATTAAAGGGCATTTTTGAAGAACGGATCTTGCATATTTTCTTGATTAGCCTCTGTTCAGCAGATTGTTCAGTTAAACTAAAGAAGCCATGATAACCTTGACACCTTTATGATATATAGGAGCTCCCTCTGACTCCAGAGTCACAGCAGCGACACATGCATGTGGTGAACAAGCTGAGGGGCAAGTTCTTCCCTACGTTTCAACACTTTTGAAAAAAGGAAAAATCAACTCTAACGAAGTTTTGCAGTTTAATAACAAAGTGAATCAAGAAGGCTTGAGAGAACAAGCTCTTCTACTTCAAAAGCTAAGTCAAAAGTTCAGCCTAAATTAATTTTTGAATATCTATATTTTTAATTTGGTAAGAATAGCTACAGTCCTTCACAACTGCAAATTCATGATGTGCAAATTCAAAAAGGAATACTAAGGTACAGCAGTGGTCTGGAAACTCCTTCATAGTTAGCTCCATTGAGTATGCCTGACAGGTGCTCTTCCATGCCAAAACACAGACGATCAGAATTTTTGCAGTTCAGTTACACAATCCTGTAATATGTGGTCTGAACATGCTAGCCAAAACAGTGACCCTCACACTTCCATCTCCTTACAGCCCCCACTTGAGCAGCACAAACACACATTCTCAGGCATGGAAAATAGAATTTCAGCATAATTTTGAAAATTATGACAATGAGATTTAGGTAAAAACCTAAATCTATTAGAGTATCACTGATAATCCATTTTCACCAAGAAACAGAAATAACACATAACCCTGAGATTTGGACTTGAAGAACAGCTACAGTGAATCTCAACAGAGAAGATAATACAATATGCAGAGTTATCCTGAGGTTGTGCATTTGGAAATGTTGTTTGTGTAGGATTATGCTATTCAAATAAAATGTCAATTTAATCAATAGTAAATTGAGCTGAAAACAACACACAGCTTTGAAAACGTTTCAGGAAGACATCCAATATTTTTGGGACTCAAGCCAACAGAAATGGAAAGAACAGAAGGTAGCGTAGGTGGGGTAAATGGGGCCTAGCTGCTGCCTCATCAAGTGCTTATAACAGTCAAAACCATATAACAATCCATTAAAAACGTGTCTGGGGACTTATTTAGTAGCTGGCATCCAGCATGGACTTCTCTCATGTATCTTTTGTCATAACTGTAATTGTTCTTCACATTTAGGACTTACCGGTCTTTTCCTGTCTCCTTCTTAAACACGGCATCACAGTAACTCATGCGCTTTTCTGTTGTCACATAGATTTTGGCAGTTGGGTAGCTGTCAACAGTTTTCTTCAGCATGTTGTACACAATGCCATTTCCATCCTTCCTCATGTTTCGAAAAGGTCCCCAGATCACGTAAACAGTATTGTTGGTTTCTTTGAAAAAGTACTCTGGATTCTTGAGTAGGAGAGGCACACTTGTGTGAGAGACCACTCTTATGGTTGTCCTCTTCCCAACATCCTCCTCGTAGCCCTTTGTGGGAGCATTGTTCATCCTCCATATGCAGGAGGACTTGTCTATCTCGGCTCCCACCTTCTGGCCAGCCATTTGTCCCGAGTTTGAAACAATGGCACAGAGGTCACAGTTAAGTTGTAGAGGCTGGAAGAAACAAAACAAAAACACTGGCAATTCTTCCTCTGTAAAATACGAAGACTGAAAATTCAGTTAAAAGAAAGATGAGCACAGCCCAACAAATTGATAGCAATGCTTCTCTTTAAGAAAACCTAACAATCCCCATGTGGTAGAGCTGGTAGAAAACCCTACCACTACAAAGCTCTGAATGCAATCCTTTTTTAGTGAAAGAGGTGGCAGCTCCAATGTTTTCCTTTGTTCTCCACCTTGCAAAGTCAACTAGAAAAATAATAATTCCTTATTTTCCTCTAAATATTACTCCTTCTACTAGAAAACAATGAAAGAAAGAAGCAGCAGAAAACAATATTTAGATCAATGCCTTTTTTCTCTTAACAAGGTGTTGTCAGCAACAGGAAAAAAAAGTATAGAAAAAGTAATGCTGGAAATGTAACTATACACTGACCGTGTTTATGTGTCTGAATTAATAGTTCCCAAGTTTGTGACAGAAATCAAACATGAGATGTAACTCTAAAAAGCAATCTAGTTGCATGAAAATCCTGCAGTTGGAAAGGAGACGTAGACAGAGGAACACGTTGTTGTCTCCAGAGAACAGTTATGATCCATGAAAAATGAGAGGCAGGTGGACTGGTGACAGGTGAACTAGGAACTTAATACTGCGCAAACTGAAGTCAAAGACAGTATTTCCTGAGCACGTTCTAGGGTATTATTTCTCCAGTATGAATTGAAAACAGGAACAGTTATCTTTCTAACAGAGATATAGGGAAGTACCTGATGTTCTGTTTGTCAGAGTATAAATAGTAAATGTTTTTTGGTTCTTTTGTACTGACAGACTAAAAGGAAATACCCTGTATTTGATTGTATGAAAAGTTTGGTTAGGAATCTAAATCAAATGAAAACTAGATCCATCAAAAAAAACTACAGAAGTCTGTCCAGACAACAGTTCATTTACAATTTTTCATATGTTCACAGACTTGATCTTCTGTCATGCTCCCAATTGGGAGCCAGTGATTCCAGTTTGATGTTTGTAGGGAATAACGCCCGTCATGTTCTTTGGACATGCAGCCTGACAGGATGCTAGGTGCTTTTCTGGTCAGACTTGTGGTTATTTTTCCCTTCAAAATCACACCTCATTTAGCTGATGTGGATGAATATCCTTGCTACATTTGACCACTATAAACTTAGGACACAGTGGCAGACAAAACATCAAATTTCTTTCGTAATGGTGCATACTATAATGACAAGAGATAAACATCTGAATAGAGCCAAATTATAACAGCTAAAATATCTCATCTTTGGGAGACAGATACTGTACAGAACTAAGGTGCATCCTGCAGGGCTTCTGCAATAAATCTCACAATTGCAAAGGTTGGATTTCTCTATGTGAGTGGGTCACGAAAACATTTTTTCCTCATTTCATCAGGAATTAAAGATGCCTGACTGCATGTAAAAGCATTGGCAATATTTCCTTTACAGAATACCATGTATTTTTTTATAGCTGTTGTAGTTTTAGAGAGCTGTCCTGCATAGCACTCTGACAGCAGGGATGAAATCCCAGGAGATGCAGCTGAATACAACAGTCTTTCTGTTTACCGCTTAGTTACAGAAATCCTCTCTAAGATACATTATGAGGACGTGGCTGGGTGACCTAAACAAATCCATAAGCATAACTCACATCCTAACATGAAGTGAATTGTTAAAGTCCCACCAGATTAATTTACAGATTTTAGGGCAAACTTTCAGACGAACAAATGCTGAATACGAAACCAACAGATAGGAAAAGCCATTCTGGTTAAGAATCTGGTCCCATTTAAATCTGTCTCAACCTCAGTGTTGGTTTTTGTTTTGGTGGTTCTTTATTTTCCCCCACAATATTCTTCCTTCTCTGTTAAATGGAGCCGCCCTCTCAAATTTGGAATAGTATGATTTTCTGACCTTAGTTAGAAATGCATTGCACATTTTCTATTCACTGAGTGTAACTGTTCTGCTCGAATAAACTGAGTACACTCACTCCTGCAATTGTGTCCCCTGGTTTTCTAGCTCTTTTGTTGTGATTCATTTATCTTGTTCCAATTTATAAAGCACTTTCATAATATTGAATGCCTGCACTAGGTCAACATATAATCTGCTCTTCTTCAATAGAGGCAGAAGTTTAACCCCTCCCAGCCCTATCTCAGTATATCTTTCCCAACAGAGATCCCAGAGAGATTTAGGAGACTGGCTGACTGACACCCATAACAGGCATTCCACTGACTCCAGAACCATCCACTGACTTCAGTATCTTTTGACATCTTATCTTCCTCAATGTATGAGAAAACACACATTGATATTCATACGTTGAATCCTCATACGGACACAGGCTGGCAGCTTGTGATGTTGGTTGATAAGTGTCACAGACTAAAGGGGCAGACTAATAATACTAATTATATTAATAAAAGGAGAATAATGCAAAATACACAAAACCGATACTGAGTTTCCCGGAGTTAGGTGCTGGGTGCTGGCATCCGACCAGGAAGTCCCAGACTGGCATTGGCAGTAGATGGGAACTGGACTCAGGAATGCACGGATCAGGATCTGGATCAGGATTGCAGGCAGGACAACGAGCAGGGTCCTCTCCAGAAGCTGGCCACGGACAAAGAGAGTAAGACCCTCGTGATCCCCAAGCTTTAAACTGAGTGTGACGTGCATGGCATGGAATACCTCGCTGGTCAATACAAGGTCACCTGTTCTGTCCACCCCTCACCGCAAGCGCGACCCTTTACAGCTCCTCACTTGCGAGACCTAAGAAGTCTACCGGTGACCTCGGCTGCTATAGTAATAATTATAAACAGGGGCCTTCTTCTGCATTCCATTCCTACCACTAGCTCAGTAATACTATAAACATTAGGTGTTACCAGCTTTGGAGCAGACACTGTCTGTAAAATATGCTGCCAACTTCAGAAAAATGCAGTGACTCAGAACAACTCATCTGTAAGGGAGATTCACTAAATAGAATTGGTTCTGTATGAGCCAAAATCAGGACATCCACATACAACAGCTTTCTCACTTTCCTTATTTAACGTGACATTCCTGTTTGTTATTACACCCTAGCTCAGGTATGGCTGTCCCATCACTTTAAGACTCAAAAACTGTTCCAATGTATCTCCTCTGCCAGGTGGCTCCCACAGGAGCTATTCAGGCACAGGGATCTGGGTGCCCGACAGGCCGGAATTGGGAAGCACCTGGATAGCTGTGGCTGCTACTGAACTGGGACACAACTGACAGCTCCCAATGACCCTTGAGGAGTAGGAGTCATGTGCTGTTTTCCCCCTCACCCCATACTCTGGAGCCCTACATCCCTCATACTCTTTTCCCACATGCAGAATTTTGGCTGCAAGGTTGCCCACGATAGCCCTCACTTCTATGAAAAACTAACACTTTCCCATTTAACTTGTTATATTTTTTGTATTAAGGATGAACAGAAGCAGAGAGACAATTCTTTCACACAGAGATGGGAATATGAAGAGATTAAAACTCGAGAATGAAAAAAAACGTGCCTTCTTGGTGGTCTGTTTTGCAGTTAACAGTAACTGTTTACAGGTGTCCACATCACAAACACCAGGACAGCAATTAAACACTAACTCATCAGCAGCTTTATCAGAGAAACCAAAAATGGTTCTGGCAGGCTGGCCAGGCTGCCCTCTCATCTGTAGAGACGGCCCAGTAGCGATGGGATTGATACAGATTGGCACCCTATGCTGTTACTGTTTATGCTCTCTGGACCAAGAATGTCAATTCAGGGGTTACCTGTACCTTTCACAACGTCTTCATTCACTTGCATTGTAGATACACAAGCTAAAGAAAAAATACAGAGCGCCATCCACTTTTTCGTCTCTTTTCATGTATTTAGACACGTATTTCACCTCTATACAACATGGGGCCCGAGCTATTACTGCTTCTAGAAAATGATTCATTTTGTCACTGGCCAGAAGGATGCAGAAGTCCTCAGCAGAGCAGCTGGGCATGATTCTGACCAATTGTCCCATCTTTTTCCTGAATGATACATTGCAACTGTTGAGGAGCACTTATATTTTAATCAGTAAAGAAAATGAAATGTCTGACCTTTCCACTTCCTGTGCAAGCTTACAGACAATAGAAAAGATAACTAAAAGCGTGAACTAGAACTTGCAAAACAGTGCTGCTTCTCTAGCTAAGAGAAATAGCTGTGTAATAAAGGTCACTTATCAAACAGTTCTAGTTATAAAATCTTTGCATTTAGCACTGAAGTGGCTTCGCAGAATCAAAGGTCAAATCATTAAATAACAAAAACAGCCAGAATTAGAAAAGGTCACAAGCAAATCAAACTAGAAGCAGGTCACAAAACATGATTCTCTTCCACAGACTATTTCGATACTTGGAAAATTGGCTACTTTCCAATCTGAAACAACTCCCCCATCATTTCAAATGGCTCCACCAAGACACTGAAATTCCAGTTACAAGACTGTTTGTATGGGTCGATTTCCCAGTGGAACAGGTCCCGGATCACCAAGTTTCCCAGACACGGACCTGTAGGTCCGCTGAAGTCCCAAGTGGGGATGATCTCAGGCCAGGTCTCAATCTCCTGGCCAAAACTGCCGCACAAGTAGGTGGAGTCCAACAAAACAATGTCTTCATAGGCCAGTCATGTGCCAACCTGCCGTCTCAGCAGAGACTGCCGCATTCACTCTGCAGTTGGACCAAATCGAGCTCAGGACCTATGCAGATGTAATTTACTGTAATGAAAAGCTGAATTTCTCTCGCGACTTCTTAGCACAATAGGCCGGTGGTGCTCTGGAGAGCTCACTCCAACCACCAACTCTGCTTCACTCTGTGAATCCCACAACTAATCATACAGATAGTCAGGAAATTCAGATTAAACTTCCCCAATTGTTACTTTAACAATATGATTGTAATTTTGTAAATTGGACGCAATGCCCATTCACTACATAATGAGGCAATTATTAGCAGCTCGCCACATATTAATTTGCTCC